GTGGTCAACTACGTGGGAGTCCAGTGACATAGCCATTACGCTAACTGCTGGTTCCCGATAAAATAATTCTTTTTAAAAGGAATTTTATTTATTATTATTTTTTAAAATTTGTTATAGGGCACTTCTGCGAGAGAAAGTAAGAAAGCAAGCCTCCAGGGCTAGGACTCAAATAGTGGTCGGCCATGTTAGAGTCCAGCGCCCTTAACCACCACGCCACCTGCTAGCCCCTCATAATTAGTTTTAATTTGACCAGAGAGAGAAGGAATGTGAGAAAGCAAGTCACCAGGTCCTGGACTCGAACTGCAGTTCCAGCACCTTGACCACCATGCCACCTGCCACCTCCGCCTTTGCTTTCTTTTAAATCTCTAACTAGCCAGAGAGAGGCACAGACATGGGGGTAAGGGTGAAAAGCATCCCCTGATGGGGGAGTGGTCATGCCATGACACCTTCTCCTGCGTTTCTCCATCCCGTCAGGATTTGGGCAAACCGAGGCACGGAGCATATTTTTCAAGTGGCCAGGGCCGGGATCCCAACTGCAGTCGGCCGTGTGGGAGCCAGTTCTCTCAGCACTAGGTGTGGAGCCAGCCTGGGCCTGCACTCCTGGAGCCACATGGACTGTTAGCCTGCCCCCTTTCCAGCAGCACACGCCTGTGCACCTGCACACACCGTGGCATGAACACCTAGAATACTGGACACGGCCACACGCTTACCCATGAGGCAAGAGAGCCCGAGTGCAAGAGGACACGGGCTTTGGGCTGGCATGGGCTGCTCGTGCTCCCCGAGCCTCCGTCTTCTTACCGGAATATGGAGCCAGCATGGCCAGTAGTTGGCTGCTCATATTCGCATGTCCGTTTACGCCCCTAGGTTGGCCACACAGTGTGACATGGGGCCAGACTCAGCTGCAAGTAACCCACGAGCACCATAGTGCAGGGGGACGTGGGCAAGGGCGCACCTATTCTGCCGTCACTTCTCAAGGGTCTGCTCCGTGCCAGGCCGAGTGCGGGCCGCTGAGGACAGCAGTGAGGGAGGCCGGGGCTCCCAGGCAGCTGGAGAGACGGTTGTTGCCCGTGACATGACGCACACGGCGGGATGATCACACGGGCAGTCCACACACACAGCTGCCTGCAGCGCCCAGCAAACACCCTCTGCAGTGGGTTGAATTCCCCAGATATATCCACGTTCCAACCCTGCCACCCGTGAACGTGGCCTTATTTGGAAAATATATATATATTTTTTTTGTAGAGGTTTTTTTTGTTTTGTTTTGTTTTGTTTTTTTGTTATAGGGGCATGTACGCTCACCAGAAAGACAGAGGGTGATTTCTCACTTTCTCGTGTTCTCTGTCTCTCTGGTGAGCACACACACCTTATAGCAAAAATCTCTCCAAAAAATATATATATAAAGGAAAGGGACTGCAATGTAACTGTCCACCCCGCACAGAAGGTGCTTTCTCACTTTCCCTTTTTCTCTTTCCCCAACTCTCTATGGTGAGTTATACACCCTCTGGTAAATTAAAAAAAAAAAAAAAAAAAGGTTTTGCCATAGGGTGCATGCACTCACTGGAGAGAGACAGAGACATTGAGGGAAAGTGAGAAATCACTCCCAGGGGGGATGGCCACACCGCTGTCCCTTCTCCTCCATTCTCCTCCTGGGATTGTGGGCACATGCACACACATGCGCTCAGTGTGATTTTCAAGTCACCAGGTCCGGAACTCAGACTGAGATCAGCCATGTGTCTAGCACCTTAACTATCATGCTACTTGCTGGCCCTGGAACATGCATTTTTGCATTTTTGCAGATGTAATTAAGCTAAGGGCTTCAAGATGCCATCTGGCTCATCTGGGTAGACCCTAAATCCAAGGACAAACCTCCTCCCCCCCTTTTTTTGGAGAGGTTTTTGCT